AAAAAAAAAAAAAAAGTCCAACAGTAAACTAGAGGGAAAAAAACCATCTCCAAACACGTAATTCTTTTGCGTTTTGAACACTTACTTTCGTCAGAAGTTTTCTTCCAAAGCTAAACTTCACAAGAAGAAGAAATAAAATGCCAGCAAACATCAGCTTGATAACAGAGCCAAGACCACCTATGTTCACGTAAGCGCCATACTGCACCTGAGGCAAAAACATATTTTCAGTGATAGAATTGACATCACAATTTTTGCATCAATTCATCTGTAAAAATAAGTCTACCTCCGAATTAGGATGCAATTGTTTTCTATAATAGACAGCTGTTTAAATAGGGCCTTAAACAATTATCTTTGTTCTAAACAACTCTTTGAATAATGCTTCACTTCATAATTCATTCTGAGAAGACAACAGAACTACAGAATGGCGAGGGAGCGAGCATGGTAAACAAAAGTGGAAAACTTTAAAGAAAGATCTGTTTTGGTATCTGATAAACTTTTATGTGTAGTAGAGAGTACACTGTATGTTTCTAACTTTACATTCAGTGGTGATCTGAAAGGAAAAGCAGCATTTCACTGTTCTCAGGTTCATCTAGCTCAGTTTGAAGTTAGTCTGTTTGTAATTAATAACGCATTGAGAGACATTTTTTAACTTTAGGTTATTGAAGATGGTGCGGTTAAGGCACAAACCTCAGAAGAAGGACCTGAAACATCACCATACAGTAGTGAACTACATCCATCAGGCCATCTTCAATACAGCTATGATACTATAGAGCAACAGTTTGCACGTGATTTGCCTGATAATAACGATGGTGAATGTGATGCAGCCGAGGGAGATGGAGAGCTTTTTCTCTCTCAGAGTAATTTTCAGAGCTTTTAGAAGCTCTACTGATACAACAAAAAAAGCCTCTGCACAGGAACAAAATTTAATGTATTTATCATTCCCAAAAATCATGAAGCCTACCTTTCAAATATTTCTGTGACTGAAGGCTTCCATTCCCTACAAATACATACCCAGAAATCAGACAGCATGAGAACCCTACAAGAGACCCTTGTAACTATTACGCTAGCAGCAATAAGCAAGCTCGTCAGGCAGAGTATCAAGTAGTATGAAACAGGCCAGTGCACCCAGAAGAACCTGGGCCACATCAGGTCAAGCAGCTTCCAAAGGTGATCAACTGAACAAGCCTTCTTTACAGGAGCAGAAGCACATTACAGTTCATTACTATTTACCTAACTACAGAAACCCTACTACACAGATCTGCACTAAGGACAATTATTCCATAAAGGAAAGGTTTGTTGAAAATGGTGATAATGACATAGTATACTAATAACAGTAACTTACAGGTGTTTCCTGCAGCTCTGTGTACAAATAACGCTGAGACCGTTTCACAACAGAAACATCAGATCCCATGAATGGAATGGAGTACTCTTTGAATTCCTGGTTGTAAAACACAAGTCCTCTGCAAAAGGAAAAAAAAAAAAAGTCAGAAAAAATGTTCGCATGTTCACACAAACTGAAAAACTGATCATAACGGCCCTACCAACACTGGCTTTTTCTCAAGCATTTTTATGACATTATCTCATTTCACTGAAAGCAAACCACTCCAAATTTATCCCTGGCTCAACTCAAAATTCCATGCGCCACAGCAAGGATGAATTTGATAATCAAAATAATATTCTCCTCACATTTCTTTTTTCCGTTCTACTGATCACTTCTGAAATCAAATTCAAAAGATTGCCACGTCACTAAAAGTCTTTTAGAACAAGTTAACTTGAAGACCCAGTAAATGCTGGGACATGTTCTCTTTTCAGTAAAATATGAACAAACCAGTAAACTGAACTTACCTTCAATTCTACTAGACGAGCATCTATGTGTTCATAGAATCATAAAGGTTGGAAAAGACCTCTAAGATCATCAAGTCCAACCTTCAACCCAACACCACCTGCCCACCAAACCATGTTCCCTAAGTGCCACATCTACACGTCTTTTAAATACCTCCAGGGATGGTGACTCCACCACTTCCCTGGGCAGCCTGTTCCAAGGCCTGACCACTCTTTCAGTAAAGAAATTTTTCCTAATGTCCAGTCTAAACCTCCCTTGGCGCAACTTGAGGCCATTTCCTCTCATCCTAACTAGCGATAGGACGAAAAGATAGCGATTGGGAGAAGAGACCAACACCCGCCTATTATACCAAAGCCCTAAATGCATCTTTTTAGTATTTAATAATATGTTAACAATCTATATAATAAATACTGGAACTGTTAGAAGACAGTATGTTGCACATATTACGCTTCTTATACCTTCTTTTAAGTTTTGCACCAACTACTGGAACAGGGGCATAGCCTATACTTTTTCGAAGCTTCCTCAGTTTGTCTTGATCTGCAAGGCCATAAACAGCTGACTTCCAGGTCCCATCATGTGCACAAGAACCCTGGTAACGTACCATGAAACAGTAATTAATTCAGTACCTAAAGGTTTCATGTATTATTTTAGTAATGACCTTAGAATTATTACATATATTACACATTATTGCAATTATTACATATATGTATTATGATTACATGCATTAAAGTATATTGAAATGTGGTGGGTTGACCTTGGCTGAACGCCAGGTGCCCACCAAGCAGCTCTATCACTCCCCTCCTCAGTAGGACAGGGAGAGGAGAAAATAAAATGGGAAAAAACCCAACCTCGTGGGTAAAGATAAAGGCAGTTTAATAAAGCAAAAGCAAAGGCCGCACGTGGAAGCAAAGGAAAACAAAAGATTTATTCTCTACTTCCCATCAGCAGGCAATGTCCAGCCACTTCCCGGGAAGCAGGGCTTCAGGGTGCATAGCGTTTGCTCCGGACGACAAACGTCGCAATAACGAATGCCCCCCACCCCTCCTCCTTTCTCTTAGCTTTTATTGCTGAGCAGACATCATATGGTATGAATAACCCTTTGGTCAGTTTGGGTCAGCTGTCCTGGCTATGTCCCCTCCCGGGATCTTGCCCACCCCAGCCCAGTGGGTGGCGGTGGGTAATGTTGGAGAGACAGCCTAGATGCTGTGCGAGCACTGCGCAGCAGTAGCCAAAACACTGGTGTGTTACCAACACCTTTCTAGCTACCACTACAAAGCACAGCACTATGAGGGCTGCTACGGGGAAAATTAACTGCATCTCAGCCAGACCCAATACAATCTGCACCCCTTATTCCATACGATTTGTGTCATGCTCAGGTCCCAAATAATTTAAGACACATATATATATATATATATGTATGTATGTATGTATGTATCTTCTAACCATGCCATTGTATTTAATTCTCATTACTGCAATCCCTTCTTACCAACACTTACACCTTATACTACGTACTTAACTTTTTGTCTCTATACCCACAATACAGATTTATACATTAACTGCTATCCCCTGCCCTTTAACAGAGAGATACGACTCTCCCATTCCATGGGCTTCCTCCACTCCTCCAAATGTTCATAGGAACAGGCTACGACTTGGGCCCCATCTGTCAAGATGGGCGCTCAGGACAGGAGAAGCAGTATGTTTGGGCACCAACACTAGCTTGATTTGGGTCATCGCTGCATTATTTTAGTAATGACCTTAGAATTATTGCACGTATTACACACTATTACAATTATTACATACACGTATTATCATTACATGCATTAAAGTGTCTTGAAACCCTGCCCCAAACAAAAAAAGCCAACAGCCAAACACGAGGATTACTGGCAACATGCTATGTATCTGTTACAGTTTGTTTGTGTATGAATCCTTCCCACACCTCTGCAAAAACGAAGTATTTCTTGAAACAGCTTAACACAACAAACTTTAGGTAGAAAGCCTATGCAAATGAACCTTACAAAAGGGTGTTTGCTTGGGATACTTTTATCAGCTCCTAAAGTTCTTAAGACTCATCATCAAAGACCTGCCAGCTTGTTCCGTGGTCTGAATCAACGTAATGACAGTTATTCTAATGGGCTACAGCGATGTTGCCACAAATACCTCTGTGTTTCCAAGGTATAAACCAACTAACCTCAGGCGCCAATTTCACCTTCAGGAAACTTTCAACAGCAGTTAAAGTACCTTTAAGGAAGGAGAAAACATTACTTGGCATGTACAGTCATTAGTCCATAAAGCCAGAGTACACTCTGGGTAGACCCAAGTAGCAGGCCACTGACATTATTAGTTGAAAAGGCAGAGTCACATCTATATCTCAAAGTAAAATGAACTGAGATTAAGCTATTTTAATTAGCAAGCATCAAATTTCTTAAGTACTTCAGTAAGGGTCACTAATACTACCTTTACTCATTACATTTTTCATTTATCTAAGTAATGAGATAATGTAAATAATGAATGGGGGGAAAAAAAGGAAAAGAATAGTAAGAGCCATATTTAGTTCTCCTCCAAGTTTCAAAATAAAGGAGGACGTGAAAGGCTGTGAAAACCGAGAGGGACTTACAGATTTTGGCAGACCTTAACTACAAAAAAACCCCACAAACCCGCAACCCCCCGAAACACCTAAGATATCCTCAAACATTTAGTTTCAGCATAGCTTGTGTTTTGCAAAGAATGCTTAGTAGTGATGAACAGCAAAACAAAACAACCCCTCCAAATTCTGCTTTGTTTGGCTTTGCTGGTTCCTTCTGAGATTGTAGAACGGCACTTGTATGGGCAAGTTCAATATAGCAAGCAACTGGATAGACGGGCGATAATACCACGAAGTCAAAATGGGAAGAGATAAAAGCAAAACATTTGGATGCTCTTATCGGCCCTTCCAACTGAAAGTCAGACCTGATGAACAAAGTAGCCTCGTTTGAGATTAGCATCAAGTACTATTTGCATAGAATTAAATCTTCTCACATCTTTTCTCAAATACATTTATCCTCTTTCAGTTACTGTCTAGCTGCTCTTAAGGCAAAAGGCATTGGATGGCACTGTCTATCTACCTACACTCGTGCAACAGCTTCTCAGTGCTTGCGGTAGAAAAAGAAAACTTACAGAACCTGATTACCCACTGATTTGCGATCCCTTTCCACAGCCCTCCTGCCCCCGCCGTCTCTTCCCTACAACCTACAAGATTCTCACTGCACGAGAGGCCGTGCGCTGAGGCTTGCCTAGGGACGTCCACACCCTGGCTCAACAGCCCGCTGCTGACAACCGACGGTTCTGTTCTCTCTGTGAGCAACATGACCTTGAATCCCTCCTCTACCTAATGACCAATTTTCGCCAATCTAATGGGAATATGATTTACTTTTAAATTTTTATCTACTAGATTTGGCTGAAACTGGTCAGCTGCTAAAGGCAGGCAAGAAGAGAGACACAAAGAGTTTCCACGTAAGCATTGCCGCTTTAGGAAACCAGATGAAAGCATCATCTGGTTCTTCTTCAGCGTAAGGTCACACTTAGTTTAACTAAGTCACCTTTCAACTTGTCTCTGGTGTACAGTACTCCCATGTCGGCTGGTATAGAGTCAAAGCCACAGCTTCCAATGACATATACTCCCTTTTCCGCAGCTTTTTCGTTGTATTTCAGGAACATTCCTTCCAGAAACTAAAACACAGTCAGAAAAAGTATTTTAAGCCAAACTCCACGGTTGCCCACACCCAACAATAGCCATCAGCGCTTTACCGTCATATCGTAGCACCCTACACACTTCAAACCCCTTACAAGCGTCTTCAAGACAGAGACATGTTATTCCTGTTTTACAGCATGGAAGTGTCACAGCAGTGCAAAGAATCGTGATCTACACAAAATTCCTACATAGACTCAGAACCAACACTTAAAGCAGAATTCAAAAATTCTGGATTTCCAGAGAGAACCTGAGAGGCTCATGTCTAAAAGCAGGAAAACTATACAACCAATACACATCATTGTACTTTAAAATAATTAATGCATCTTCAGATCAGGAGGCAGAATTTGTCCTTGTGTTCAAAAACATGAGCAGAAACATGAAACATACTAAACAAATATTCCGTTAATAGATCCTTGATACAAGGTAGCATTTTTCTACTGTCACATACCTGGGGTTCGCCACTGATGTCAATGCAGCTTGCACCATTTTCAATGCACGCCTCTACCACAGGCTCGCCAAAGAATCTATACTATAGAAGGAAAGAACACCACACATACATAACAAAATAAACCCCACAGGCCACAACTCGCCCCACGTGCTTTATCTAACACACGTATCTACAATCAAAAGAAACGCTTGATGGCTATTGATTTTGCTAAGTGGGGCAAAAATGTCATAGTGCTTGTATTGTTGTGGGGGCTGGGGAGAAGGAACAGCGTAACAAACTTCATCACTGATAACGGAGTTTGCTG